TTTTCTATATATTTGATTTATACATGTTCCCAAAATTGATTTTAGATTTTTGAGGTATTTTGACTTTTTGAGATTTATGCAAAATCTATTCTATATATGGAAGTAAAAAAAGTATCCAGTTATATGTATCTTTAATTAAAGAATAAATCTGGGTGGTCAAAAAATTTTGGATTTTAAGTAAAATAATTTCGTCTTCTATGAAAAACTATTTTGACTTTTTTTTCCGAAATTGCAATTTCCGGATTCCAAAATAATTTTGCGTGCAAGTATAATTTGGTTAACTTGACTTTATAATAAGTTTATTAAATACACTTGATTTCACTCCTTTTAATTCTTCTATAAATTGAATATCATCTATAGACTTATTTTCCTATTAAAGAAAGTCAAAGCTAGATTCAAGTTCATTATACTTGACATTTGAAACATTCAGATCAGATTTTTTTCATTACTTTTTTATAATTTCTAAGTAGTATCTATGGTATTTGTTTCGTCTTGACATAATTAAAGAGAAAAAACATTTTGTTAAATTGATAATTTAAAATAAATCATCACTTAAACTCCTTAATTCCTTAAATAACTAATAAGGGTTACAAAACATCCTTTATTAGCTAAATCAAGATAAATTTAAATAAAGAAGACTACATTATCCTCTGATTTATTCAAAACACCTTGGGATAAAATATATAGCAGTGAGATAATAAGTTTTTTTATATATAATAACAAGTGTAATAGGTTTTATTTATAGTGATGAGATAAAAAATTTTAATTCATAAAAAAAAAAAATAAACTTGAAAATCAAATATGTATAGAGTAGATTTTTATTCATAAAAAAAAATGAATTCAAAAATCAAAAATTTACTTTAAAAAATCATCTGATCTATTAACTAACAAATTTTAGCAGTGACACAGCATTTGATGCCTTTAGACTTAGTGCACCATAATGTAATCTCAATTAGTTATATATATAACTACTACTCAATGAAAATTCTCCTTAAGTAAATTAATTTCCATGATATATATCAATTTCAAAAAATATAAATAGGATATATTAGCTATTGAAAATTATACTATTCAATAGATACCAATTCTTTATAATATTATAGATAATTGAAAAATATCTATGTAAAATATATATTCAAAGTTTAAAGATAAAGTTAAATATTATTAAAGGATAATGATGATGATTTATGCATATTACATAGGAGAATTAATTCATTTTTTCATTATACCAAGGGAAAAGTGATTGGAATTTGTTTAACTAAAACAAATTTGATGAGAATATCACTATTATCTTGAAATATAGTAACTTGAGTATACAAACTCTTTAAGTCCAATATCAAACAAATTTATCAAACAACTTATCTATCTTATCACATACTCTTAGATATGAAGTCCAGTGATTTTAAAATATTAGTGAGTTATCATCAGGACCTTAATGATCTCACTTTTAATTTCAATAAAGTTATAAGTGAAATTTTATAACTAAGTCAAAAAAAATTGTTGATCCTAATAGTCAAATTTTATTTATCATTATATTTTTATATTATTTATTATATTATTATTTAACATTATGTATTTATTAGTTTAATTATATTTTATTAACTTAATTTCATATTTTATTAGTATATATTTATAGAAAATTATTAATATAAATCATTTAGAAATTAATACAACTATTAAATATTACAACTGTAGATCTAAGTGTAATCAACAGCATAGTGTACAACGTAATCAATAGTGTATTCAATAGTGTATTATATAGTGTAATAAATAGCATAGTAGAAAGTGTAACTAATAGTGTATACATCAATGTAATTAATAGTATATGTATTAGTGTAATCTACAGTATAATCTATTATAACTTCAATTATGTATATAAAAGGCTAAATTTTTCCTTGCTCAGTCTTCAGTTAATTTTCAGTTCAGTTTAGACAATTAGATAGTTAGTTCAACTCAGTTTAGAGTTAGTTTAATAATTAATTTTCAGTTTTTTTATTAATAAAATACTTTGTGATTTATCTTATAATTTCTCAGTGAAATTCTATATTATTCTTTAGTGGAATATCAAAACCCTTGTCAAATTATTTCTTGTTTTGTGATCTTGGTATATAGTTTTTATATTATAATTCTCTACTTAATGTTAGGAATTATCAGTTTAGTATAGTTTATATCTGTTCTTTAGAAATAGTTTAATTAAACCTTTATAAAAATCTTATAGCCTTACTTCTTTTGAACAAATTCGCAACATCTAAATCTTTCAACCATTATACTTTTTATAGTATAAATTAGTTAATAGTAATATATTTTAGTTTAGCTACCATAACTTTAACTAATAGTTAATTATATCCCTTGAAAATTGGATCATGGTCAATATCATTCTATAACATTATTCAAATGGTACCAATATATTAGAATCTAATATTCTAGTATATTATTTAAAAATTTCATATTAATAGCATATTAAATATACTGTTTTAATATATTATTTGAATAATTTATATTTATAGTATATTAAAATTACCATTTTTAATACATTATTTAAATGTTTTATATTTATAACATACTAAAATGTTTCTATAAAATTCCTGATAATATATTAAGTAACTGTTATATCTTTTTTTTCTGTTATTTTCTTCATGTTCAACAATTGTTTCAAAGTTTTTAATATAATAATCAATTTTATTTTCAAATGGTTTTATATCACATTTTTCTAAAAAAATCTCTAATATATTTCATTCTTCAATAGTATGATTGAAATATTTATATATTTTATATATTTTATTTTTGGATATTATAAAAATTTCTAACAAGCATATTTATAAATTATGATTCTATTGTACAGAACATATTATGTATAGAATTACATACAGAATTCTATATTACAACTGTTAACTAGTAATATAGATTTTGAAAAATTTATTAACAAGTAATATAAACTTTCAAATTTCTTAAGTTCAAAAAAGATAAACTGGTTAACTTCCAGATAACAAATAATAAATGAAAAATTACAAATCTTATATAACTTTTATTCTATTTAAAATATTGAAACTAGATCATAATTAATATTATTATAGTGTATAATTTAAATATAAAAAATTTAATTGTAGATATTAATATTGTAATAATAAATAGATTTGATTCTTTTTAATTTTTATTACAATAAAATAAAGATATTAACACAATTATTATCAATATTTTTTTTATGTAATTAAACTTTTGAATATATCTTATTTTGTAATAAAACAGCATCTAAGCTTTTGATATATCTTATTTTGTAATAAAACAGTATCAAATAATTAATTAACAATTAATATCTTAAAAAAATTAAACTCTAGATTTGTATTCAAGATTACTGAACTTAGAAAAGAGAATGTTGATATTAAGATTTATATAAACTTGTATAAACTTATATAAACTTATATAGTAACTCAATTTGTCAATTTGATTTGAAAGTTAAAATTATACTTTTAAAATTTTTTTAAATTCTTTAAATCTAATTTGTTAAAAGTACTATATATATTATAATAGTAATTATAATAATTTTAAGATTCTAAAACAGGTGATAGGTTGTGAGCACATTGTTACCATGAGTTTTTTCCACTTTAATAATTTTTCTTATTATTTTATTTCTTATTGTTATTTATTTTATTAATATAATTATTTAAGATATTTTATTTATTAGTTATAATTAGGATAATATGAATTATATAAATCAATAATATAGATTATAGTGACCTAGTTACTAACTAATTTATTGACCAATTTAGTGACAAACTAATTGACCAACTTAGTGATCAACTAATTGGTACAATTACTGATCAAGATTTTGACCAACTTACTAATCAACTTACTGGTCAAATCAAATATTATAAAAAGGGTGAGTTTTTTTTCCACCCCAAGGCAAATTTGAATAGTTCTAAATAGTAAAATTTAGAAAGTAATCTCAACTGTAAATTAATTCTATAATTGAATTAATATTTTTATAATCCTAAAGTAATTGGATTATTGATTTTCTTCATAATAAACTTATATCTTTTATATTAAAACTCTGTTATTTTTCTATTAATTTATATCTTAAAAATATAAATTCTGATTCTGTTATTATTTTATAAACCATTGACAAATATATTTAACTCTTTGCTTTAATTTCTTAAATTGATTTTTAAAATTTAACCATTAATCAATAATTTAATTCCTGTGATTATAAATTCTTAAGTCCTTCAATTAGTTTTAATATTTAACTTAAAGATATTCTTTTATTCTTTTAAAATTATCTCCTTCAATTTATAAACTAAAGTAACTGTTTATGAGTTGCTAGTTGTAAATTACCTTTTTGAAAAATAAAATTAGTCCAAAAGGTTGACTAATAACAATGTCTCATATGAATTAGTCTGAATCTCATCTTTTTAAACAAATATTAGAATAAGTTGTGTATTTTGTATATATAATTCCATGTAATGTAAAAAACTTTCTCTTTTTCTAATTAATAAATTTGAGGCAAGACCTCATTGGAACTTTAAAAAAAAAATTTTTAAGATTCTAAAAAAATTTATAAATTTTTGATCAAACCTAAATTCAGAACTAAAGTAAGTTTACAAACCTAATATACTATGGTCTCCTGGCCTAAATTCCCAGGGGGTTTAGAATAAGCAATTTAATTTAAGTTATATCACATGACAAAATAGATTTGTATAAAAACATTTTTTTATTAAAATTTGCATTCAGCAATTTATATACATATATATAAAGAGATTTTAGTTACATAGTATTGATGCACCCTTTACTTTTCTCCAAAACAATCGACGGCCCAAATTGGCATATTGAAAAAGTTCATCAGGCTTGTAGCTATCGTGAAAACAAGTCTTCACTTCGTGATATTCTCTCTGTCAACCTATAAAATCTCGGACTATCTCGGACAAATTTTTTTAGAGCCCCTAATAATATAATAATAATAATAATAATAAAAACATTATTAAACATATACAAAAGTACATACAAGTATGGCAGCTGAAGCAAGAAAAGCTTTAGAGGTACTCTTTTGCTTACTTGGATAACTTTTTTTTACTTCTCATAAAAAATATATTATATATTACATTCTAATATTACGAGTGTCTTTTAAGGCCTTAATGGGTGCAGAAGCCATGGGAGGTGTACCAGATCATATGAAATATGACGATGAAAAAGTTTGTCGCAATTATCTTAGTGGGCTTTGTCCGCATGACCTTTTCACGTTAGTATTGAACTACCTCTAGCAACTTTTTTAAATTTCTATTATCGTTTTACTGACCTTACGTTTCGAAAAATAATACATTTTATTCATATTTTTATAAAATAGTAACACAGTTAAGAATAATAAATATTTTATCAAAAAAAAAAGGTCCTAAATAAAAAAAGAAAAATGATATATTAGAAAATAAAACTTATTAATATTTTTTTTAAAATAGAAAATGGATCTTGGAGCGTGTCCAAAAATTCATTCCGAAAGACTAAAATCAGAGTATGAAGAAGGCAAAAAAAGAAAAGAAAATGATTTCGACTCAGAATTTGAACGAAATTTAGCAAATTTTGTAGCAGATTGTGATCGAAAAATCGCGTGTGCTCAAAAACGTTTAGATAAAACACCAGAAGATAGTGCAAAGGTCACTCAATTGGTAGGAGATAATCAAAATATCGAAAAAAATATTGAAATAAATAAATATTTATATTATAATGGAATTTTTTCTTTGAATTTCTTTTTACAGACACGAGATATTGAAAATTTGGCAACAGAGATATCTGAATTGACCAAAGAAGTAGAAGTTCTTGGTAAATAATCTAAGATTTTTTTATCAAAAAATACATTATTGATCTATTATGGATGCTCACCGAGAAATTAATTGCATGATAAATTTGATAACGATATTAAATATTATTTTTGATTTTAGGTGAAGAAGGAAAAGTTACTGAATCGATGAAATTACTTCAAGATGTTGAAGCAAAGAAAACAGCAAAGATTGAGAAAGAGGTTAAATTTGGTTATTAATTAATGATTTCTAAATAAATAAATAAATATTTTTTTTTTTATCGAGTCATTATATAATTATTTATGATAAATATTTTTTATACACAGAAAGAACTTAAAAACCAATCAGAAGGTGGTGGTCCATCTCAACAACAAAAATTGCGCGTGTGTGAAGTGTGTAGTGCATATTTGTCGATATTTGATTCAGATCGACGGTAAGTTTTCTAATCTAATTCTACATGAATGATTTGAATTACGTTTTTTTATAACCATATTTGAACAAAAAAAAAATGAATTTAATTGTTTTATTGGTTTATCCTAATAGCCTGGCTGATCATTTTGGTGGAAAGGTGAATAAATATCTGGTATTTGTTTTTACACATTGATGTAGTTATTAATTTTAATTTTTGTATTTTAGATGCATCTTGGTTATTTGAAAATTCGTGATTTACTGAAAGAACTTAAAGAAAAAAATAAGGATCGTAATAATGATTCAAGGGGAGAAGGACGGGAAGGACGGGAAGGGCGGGAAGGACGAAATTACCATGATCGGGATAGAGATCGTGGAAATTACGAACGTGATAGGCATCGAGATCGCAGTAGCAGATTTGAGCAGTATGTGTTCTCATATTTGTTAATTCACATTTATTTTTTATGCATTCTCACCTTATTTTATTTTTTTTTAAAGTGATCGGCGAACATCGTATGATCGACGTTCTAGATCAAGATCACCGGAAAGACGAAGCAGCTACGGTAGACGACGTTCACGAAGCCCTGTTAGAAGACGGCGTTGATAATTATCAATTCTTATTTTTTTTTTATCCGTGAAATAATAATATTTATATATTGCACTATTTTATTTTTTTTTCAAATGTTCGTACGGAGGTGATAGAGTTTTTGGTAAAAAAAAAAAAATTTTTATGGAAAATGTTTATTAATAAAGAATTTGTTTTATTTGATTTTTCTTTTTAATTAAAAAAATTTATAATGTTGATTCTTATTATTATCATTATTATCTGGGTGTTATAAAAATCAGTCGTCATTATGTAACCGCATATATTAAAATAGATAAAATAAGCAATTGATTTGTTACTAAATATAAATGATTAATTATGTAAATAATACTTTGGAATCTTTACTGTATGTAAAAACATTTGTATATAATCTAATTATAATAAATTGCAGAATAAAACTAGTTAAATATATTTTTAATTGGTGATTTAAATAAATTTACTACTTTTCTTAATTATATCATAAAATTCAATTCTTCATTACTACATATCAAAAAAAAAAAAACTACTTTATTTTGGATGCAAAGAGTAATGAAAATAAAAATAAAAAAAAAAAACTACCTCAATTAAAAAAAAAATTGCCTCTAACTAAAAAAAAAAATTCTTTGAAATATTTTAAAAATTACAAAATAATATAAAAAAAAAAAATAACAGTAAATAATACATTAACCTCTAATGAAAATTGCCTTCTCGGCACCTCCGGACCTTCCAGCACGTCCAGTTTTATCCACATGATCTAACCCTAGATAGTCATCATTGCCCCATTTAATTTCCGATAAAATTACGTCTATATATAATTATATATATGATTAATATCAATTAATTTCAATTCAATAATAATGAGATAAAATAAAGGTAAAATAAATACCGTCTTCCAAATATTGATGTTTCGGGTATGTAGCTCCCTGAACAACTGCAACCCTTACTTTAGCAAAATCTTTTTCATTCATACCAAGGCGTTGTTGAAGTCGAACTTTGGTATCCATAAAACTTTCACCCTATATTTTTTTATTTTCAATATAAATAATAATTGTGTATAAATAAATAAATAAATAAATATATATATATATATAAGCGAATAGTCAAGAATGATCAAAAGAAAGAACTTACAGCTTTAATTACAAACTTGAAAGGAATTCCATGTGTTCGTAATGATTCTTTAGTGAAATGATATACTTGAATAATTTTGTCGTTAGGTTCTGCTTTAAGTTCTTCTTCGGGTATCTCCTACAAATAAAAAGAATAGAAAGAATGGAGGTAAAAAAAAGTGTGTATGTGTGAACTCCTAAAAAAATCGATGAGAAAAAATTGATATGGAAAATATTGAAATTTATATTCATACTTCAGCATATAATGTAACAAATTCATGTATTCGATCTATTGATTCAGTTCCTGTATATTCCTTTTGAATCTTGTGATTCATAACTTCATATAATCTAATTTTGTTATTTGGAATAGATAATGTAACCTTTTGTAGAATTGCTTCAATGATTTCATTGACAAGAGCAGTCTTTTGAAGGCGAACATCAATAATTTCCTTCTATTTTTAAATGAATTTCTCGTTAGTAAAAAAAATGTATAATAAATAATAATATTTTACAATAATACTTTACGATAATATTTCGCAATAATAATTTACATTAAATTCATCAATATGTATATAGTATATACTATAGTATATGCTTTACCTCTTCTTTAACATTAGTCCCAAGCCAGTAAATCTTAAAAAATTTCTTTGTTTCTAATTCTACAATGCTAATATCAAGCATTTCATAAAATAAAAGATAGGCGGAAGGGGCCAAATATGAAGGTTGAAGCATTTCTGCTAAGGTTTGAGTGGTAGTTCGTTTAATCACATTTTTCGGTGTACCAGAATGTGCAGTCGTGAAACGTAATTTTAACGGATCAGTATTCAAATGAGCAGCAACTTGACTAGCAGCCTATAATAGAATAAAATGTCACAAAAATATTAAATAAAATATTAATATTTTAAACAATATTGTATAGTATAAAATTATATATATATTATTCAACATACGGCATCATAATTCATTTTCTTGTTTAAAACCAGTTCGAATTCAGGTTTTGGTTCAAGGTCTTTAAACTTGGAAACATTTTCACCTTCTTTAGGTTTTGGTTTTGGTTTGAATTGAACAACAATTCGCATCGATAAAAATTCATAAAATTGAGGAATACTGTCAACACGACCAGCAGCACTATGCTCTTGAATTCTATAAAATATTTAATAAAATATTTTAATAAATAATTTATTTATTTAATAAAATATTTTAATATTATGTAAAAATTATGACAGAACGTACTCTCTTTCGGTTAAAACCTTTTGAAAGCAAATTATATCCCCGTCTTGTATTTCTGATTGTTGAAAAGTTGATTTAGGTTTCATTTCTTCAATCATACTAGGTTTAATTTCCTATAAAATTATATAATATTCACCATTAAAATTAAATTTAATGAATTTAATAAATTTAGTAATTTAATGTAGAAAGATTAATTGTAAATATATTAATATAAACTTACTTCATATAATTTTAAGGGAGTATTCTGTGGAAGTTCCTTTTTTTCGCAAAGAATAGGAATAATATCACCCACTTTCCCAAATTTTTGAATATAAAGATGGTTAAGACCTCTGTACGGAAAAATTTAAATTAATTAATTTATTCATTCTCATATATATATATATTATATAAAAGGAAAATAATAAAAAAAAAATATTTTTTTTTCATCATACTCTAATGATTGTGTATCTGGATCGAAATATTTAAGGAAAATCATTATCTGAGCATTTCCTTCGTGCGGTGGGAATAATTTCTAGAGAGATATAAAAATATATAGAAGATAGAGAAATAGATAGAGAAGTGAACAAGTAAGGTTAATTGTCTTATCTGATTAAAATTGTTTAAAAATTATTGAATTATATAGATAAATAGTCAGACCTTAGGATTATTTGATTTGTCAGCCACTTCTAAATATAATTTCAATTCATTTTGTCGTGATGCCATTTTTGTATGAATTTCTTCCATAGCTAAATGGTCGCAATATTAAATGTTTAAAATATAATAAATACAATCCAACGAGGAAATGAGATAATAAAAGAATGATGGAACAGGGAATGAGAGAACAAGGGAATGAGAAGGAAGGTAATGAATATATTGGATAACTCACTGGAATTAATATGATTGTCAGATATTGGAGCATCCGGACGTACGGTTTTATTTTGTCGATTTACAAGAACCCAGAATCGTATTTGTTCAGCAGGAACCTGAATATCTCTAGCAACACTTTCTTTAAAAGAACCATATGTATCGTTTTTAAGAACCTTATATTGGGGAACTGGTGATAATGGATATTGGCGATCATCAAAATTGGCCAGGTCAAATCCTTGATAATTTCTAAATGTCTCGGCTGTTACAACCTAATAATAATGAACGATGCAAATTTACTGAAATTAATTTTTATTAATTTACAAAAAATTAATTAATTAAAATACCTTGACTTGTAAATAAAGATGACGCTCTTCTGCCTCCTTTTTTTTTTGGTCATGTAATGCCTTTTCTTCCTTGAGGCGTCTTTCTATTAAATATATTGTTCAAATTTAATAATAAGTTTTGTAATTTTTTTTTTTTTAAAAAAAAACTTACCTAAATGTTCTGGTACATTTTCCGGTGATACGGGAGCTAAAATTTCGTCAACTTCAGATTCACGAATGTATACTAACATATATGCATTCGTGAATCGTTTTAAATTTCTTGTACCAGGTCGAATGGGTAAAGGACTAGAATTAGGACCTTCTCCTCCATAATTATCTTCCAATACCTCCTTATCTGTCACTCGGGTAACTCTATCATCATCAAATTTGAACCTATAATAAAGAATAGTAAATATATTAATTTATAATATGTTAATTTATAATATATTAATTTATATTAATAACGTAAAAATAAATACAAACCATTTGCCATCCTTTTCAGGTTTGAGTAGTGCAAAATAGTGACCACCATGTAAATCACCACTGTGAACAAGTACACTATAAATCAAATATAATTAAACGAGACAAATGAAAAAAAATTATGCTAAACGAGAAATAAATTTAAAACGATATTATAATAATATTATAATCTTAATACAAACCCGTGAAGTAAATATCGATGTGATCTTGATTTGTCCGCTTCTGGTGATAAAAATTCTGACAATTCAATTTCCATAGGAAAATCGTGACGATCATTAATCTATAATAATTTGTAAGAATAGTATTAATATGTAATAATACATAAGTAAATTCTATAAAATATTTAAAGATAAATATTATATGTACTTTAACCATGGCATCTCTTTGAACATCATATTCAAATCGTTTTAATTGTAAATGTAGAACTGGCGGGAAACTATCAAATATTACTCCCTTCTTGGCTTCCTACATATAATATAAATATAGCATAATAACGTGATGACTTTTGAATAATTCTTTGTTTCAAAGAAAAAAATAAAAATAAAATAAAATTTACAACAAAAAAAAAAAAATGTAAATTGGTTTTAATAATTCATTTTTTTTTAATGGAAACTTACTTGAAGACCGTACCCTTCTGCTTGGTATTTATTATCTCCTTCTAATGTTTCTTCCTGTATATAATCCTTAAAAGAATCTTGTAATGTCTTACATCCTTTCACATTTAGTTGAATGTCTAACCAAAAATATTTTTTTTAATTAACGAAAAAAAAAAATTCGTTCGAGAGGACGAATTAAAATCATTTAAAATAAACTAAATTTATTTGATAATTAATATTATTTGCCATTACCATAATAGTCTTCAACTCGAGAAGATTCATAATCTACATTAACACATTTGATATAACTCTTCATCTTTCCTACAAAAAGTTTCGTAATTGCTCCATCCGCTTTTGTACCCTTAGTATTATTATTATTATTATTATTATTATTATTATTATTATTATTATCATCAATATTATTATTATTATTATTATCATCATCACAAATATTATTATTATCATCACAAATATTATTATTATTATTATCATCATCATCATTACAAATATTGTTATTATTAAGTAAATTATGAATAATGGTTTTTTAGTACTTAATACTGGACAACAAAAAAAAAATAAAAAAGGAAAAAAAAAATTGGTAAATAAAAAAAAAAAAAGAAAGAAAGAAAGAAATTACCTTCATTTTTCCCTCGAGATTATCCTGTAATACCCTGTTTAACTCTTGAACATCGTGTTGCCTAAAAGCTTCTTCCGAATCCCAACCAAATGATTTTGTCAACTCTGTCGTACCTACTGGAGTATTTGATGTCTGTAATTGATAAAAAACTCTTTGTAAAGCCAAAGAAACACTTCTACATGGTTCGTCGTCTTCTGTGGGAATCGCATATACCGCCTAGGAAAATAAAATAAATAAAAAAAAAAATAAAAAAAAAAAAATAAAAATATTTAGAAAGAATTAAAATATCATTAATTTAAATACTAAATATAAATACTTAATTTAAATACTAGATATAAATACTTAATATAAATATTAAATATATAAAAATACTTAATATATAAATACAAAATATAAATATTTAAATATAAATACAAAATATATAAATTAATACTAACCTTACGGAAAAAATTCGTACAATAAAGTGATTGTAGCAGGGAGTTCATGTAGCAAGTGGCTCCTTGGTTCTTTAGGCCCACATAGCCAGTTTCTTTTTTTGAATCATAACTATATGAAGAGGTTAAACACAACGCCAGAAATATTGAAGGACATAACAATAGAGAATATTTGCGGAGTAAGGCTCGAAAGATAGAAAGAAAGGAGGTAAAATACTTTATGAAGTTGTGCCATAAAACACCTGTAGGATCCTTCAATACTCGTACGAAAGCCGTAATATGAGTCGTATCGTTTTCGATTAAAGCACGCGTTCGATTTTCCAATGGATTAAATAATTTACGATAATCGTAAAACCGTGTAAAACCCCAATCTGACTCTTCAGCGGTGAATCGATGATGCGCATCTATATATATATATAACAAAGAGTACCCAAGTAGTATTATATGCAAATGCGATAAGAGAAATATTTCATGTACGAAAGCGAAAAGGAAATATATATAAAAAATATATATACAAATATATAAAAATATATCATGTACGAATGTGAAAAGTGAATAATAATTATAATAATTGAATAAGTGAATATGAAGAATTAATAAAATAAATAATCACGTACGATGATGAATGTAATGTGTTGGATCTTCTGGATTCCATAAAACTAAAGCGAACTGTACGCATGCATGCCAACCCTGAGGAGCACCTTTGGGATCAGCGAAATCCAGATAAATGGAAACAGTATCATTGTTGTTATTGCCGAAAGGAAATAGTAAAATTCGCCTATTATTATTATATTATATTTTATATTATATTTATTATATTATATTTATTATATTATTTTATATATATTTTTAGATAAATATTTTTTTTTTCCATTCTAAATGTAATCAATGTAATAAATTTAATCCTCAAAGATATAAAAAAAACCAAATAATATATAATTAAAAATAGCCCACCATTTCCATCCGCCAGCTTCAAATTCTGGACCAGTTATTCTTTTTTCTAAATTCCGCCAACTGTTGACTTGCCATGTGTAATATTTAAAGTCTTCGATTTCTTGTCCGAGATCAGGCATAATTTTGTTGGCTATGGCATCATCTGAATATAGGAATAAAAATATTTTTGGTCATAAATCCAAATTCCTATCTAGTCATTTATCACCTCAAAAATATTTTTTCCAAGTATTTTTCCAAGTATTTTCCAAGTATTTTTTTTTTTTTTTAAAAAAATATTTTTATTTATTTTTTTTTTTTCTTTTCTTATTATATAATAATTACATATATAATTGTGATCTTTTTTTCCAATGACTACTTATTAAAACGCACGATATTCTAAATTATGACTTAAATATAAGATCAACAAGACATACATTCATTTACAGCCAAAGGAGTGGTTTCTTCTACATCTGACATAGGCCTGTCAACATCGGCAGGAGTGGATCCAACAGAAATATCCATTTGAGCTTCATCCTATGATTTCGAAAATTTAAAGGAAAATTATTAGTAATCTTTGAAGATCATTATGCTTTCCTGCGAGAATTTGTCCAAAATAAAAGTTTATCTATTAATAAAAAGGTTAAGAACGCGAAGTCAAATATAAAAGTCAAAAATTTTATTTCTGATTAATGAAATACTTTAATTTTTTTTTCAAACTCGAACGAACTATTTTTAAAAGTTATTAAAAGGTTACGATAGCACTTTTTACTATTTTTCTAAGCCTAGGACGAATCCGATTAGTTGAAAAAAACGTACCATGCTGAAGTCTGCGGGTATTATTCGCGTGAGATAAGATAAAACTACCAGAAAGCAGACGAGCAGGAGGAGTTGTAAAAGACTCTCGGGGATTATGAAGTCAATGTTGATCGATTTGTGATTGGGAAAGTGAAGATAAAAAAAAGTATTGGATTCTTAAAGATTGAAAAACAAAAAATCGTCAAGACTTAAGGTACCATGGAATGGGAAATTACGTTCAAGTTACTGTTAGCAACGTAAGTTATTGCGTAATTATATTGTAGTACTGAAGGTAAAAAAAAGAATACCTAATTTTTTTATATATGACGTAGACGGTATCACTCGAATTTCGATTTGGCCAATCATAAAATTTCAATAATTAATAATATAATTAATATAATTAATATTTAAAAATTCATTGTTAACAATTCAAGAGTTAATCATATGATTTAAAATAAGGAAAACGATAATAAATTTTTTTTTTTTATAATATAAAAGTAAAAAAGGTAAAACTGTACAAATGTTATTATTATTAATCAAAAGAATTGTTCAAACGTAATATATATAATATATAATAACCATTCTCTCATAACAAAGATTTTAAATACATGAATTGTTTTAACTAAAAATAAAGTCAATCCTCTACCAAAAAAAATGTATCAAAAAATTTTTATCAAAGTACAAATTGGAAAAAAAATAATAATATATATATATATATACTCTTTCAGTACTCTTTTAATTTTCTTCAATTCTCTTTCAATATTCTTTCAATACTCTTTTAATACTCTTTTAATACCCTTTTAATACCATATAAGGAAAAATAAATATGATCTGCACACTTTAATTAATAAAAATTCAACCAAGATGTGGCTGTAATTGATAATCAGCCATTGCCTAGAAAATTGGAATAAATAAAAAAATGAAAATTATATTAATAATCAACAGTTATAATCAGTTGACAATTATTAAAGCAAAAAGAATATTAATAATATTTAAAAAAATACATACTACGGAATTCATATTAATCTGATGTTCCGCAGAATCAGGATGTGCAACAGCAATTACAAACGATTTTTCCAATTTATAAACTGTATCTCCGTGATAATAATTGGCAATAGCTGTAATTTCACAACTTTCGGAATCAATTCCTGGAGTTCCTGTAAGAACATTATTTTCCCATCTCAACCATTCCGGTAGCCATGGAGAATGAAATACTGCTTTGATTGCTATATATATATATAATAATAATAAAAATAATTAATATTTACAAAATTATTATTATTACAAAATTACAATAAACAATAGTAAATAAATAATTGAAAAGAGATTTCAATGAATTTTCTATTCATACATTTAACATTCACTTGTGGATCCCAAACTCGAGGAGAATATCTGTATTCCATTCCAATGTAGGCAACTCTATCTGGAACTCCGGCAATTTTACGATTAAATTCTCGAAATATCCATCCACCAGTTGGCGTCTTTTTGGCTTCTATATTCCAAACGTGGTTACCCTTGGATTTGGCTTTCTTACCATCCTCATTAAATCGTGAAATATATCTATAATTTATTTAAATTTACTTTAACCTAGTTAATTTACATTTAAATTTATTTAAATTTGTTCAAACTTTTTTTATGATATTAAACATACCTTTGAGTCCATAAATAATTTTTAACTTTTCTCGAAGGTAAAATTTCTTCCGTATAACCATGACGAAGTAATTCTTCATGAAAAGCATTTGTAAAAGCTTGAATACGGAATTTGAATGGTCGAAAATCTGGTGATTCATCCAATTTTTGCATTTTCTTAGCCATTAAAGTTTGATGACTAATATATTTTAAAAGATAAAAATATTAATTCTCAAATAATAATTAGAAGATAATTTAATGATTTACAACTTACATTTGTTCTCCTTTTGAATCTGTTGCATCCACTATATATATATATATATATATATACATTTATATTTATATATTTAATAATAATAAGTAGAGAACATGAATTAAAATTATATAAAATAATTAATATTTCTTTTAAAATTTCAAACAATTCATTTTAATACTTACAATCTGAACAAATTTGTTGTAGAAAATTAACAAATATATCATCAAGATGTTTCAACAAATTAGGATCTAACGGTGCATGTGTATGTGTACGAGGTGTACTTGGAAGAGATACACCCGTAGGTGCAAAAATTGATGGTGGAGGTTGAGAAGTAAAAGGATCATTGGGAAGATCATGAACATTGACTGCATAGACTTCACTCGTAATTGTTGGTGTGTCTTCCACATTCGTTTTCAAAGATTTTCTCGGTTTTTCATACTTCGGCGTTACAGTCCTCTTTTATAAAAGATAAATGATTGAAATAAATTATTAAAATTCATTTCAAAAGTTAAACTTAATAAACATAAAAAAAAAAAAAAAAATTAAATAATTAGCATATAAAAAATACCTTAACAGATTTGGATGTAGATGCCATCGGTGACATTGAGGTCATTGAAGGAGACTGTTGATGTGGGATTGCATTAGTCGTAGCATTATTTGTTGAGTTATTTGTTGACGGTGGCTTTTTTTTTTTTATGAAGGAATTAACCATGTAAAACATAGGAAATTTACACGAGTTGCCATCACGTGATAATAACCTCTACATCAAAAAAAAAAAAAAGAAATTTTTTTATGCTATTTACCCTTAAGTTCTAAAAAATTAAAATAATTTGTTAATTTTTTTTTAAACAGGTTTAAAATAAGCTAAACTAAAATAATGATTACTTTTGCTTACCAGCTCGGCATATTTGGTTTTAAATTCTTTCAAAAGGTTTATTGTTTTTGTTATATCTTCGAGTCGATTAAATGCTTCACTTTCGATTCCTCGTTCAAAATGTTCTCTTGCTTCCTGCGCATTTTCGACAATGCTGTTTTATAACCCAAAAAATGAGCAGAAAATGAACGAGAGGTGAATAAGGTTTTTGAGAAAATACTATTGTTCGGTAAATGATCGTCTGGAAAAGATCTCACGATCAAAAAAGCTTTTGCTGTAGATTAAAGTATTGCTACAAGTCTTTGTACAAGTACCCTTCTTTCTTTATAACGAGATACTGTACCTATCAAAAAGTTGGGTCAATTTCATTATTTTCAAATAGTAAATAGTTGTGGGGTTGTTTCTTTAGGGGGAGGGACGCTTTTAAAAAGAAGGTCTCTCGAAAGAGGGGTTTGAGAAAAATATGTATGTTAATGAGAGATACTAAATTTATCAACCATTAGTGGGGTGTCATGTGTCTTAGACAATCATTTGATGTACACCAAAAGCCACAAATTTTGCATATGGTCATTTTTTTTGTTCGTATTCTAAGTGACTAATCTTTATCTGTCACGTGAATTCGTTGGAAATGGTTTTTTTAAAAATAAATTTTCAATATTTAAGTATACAAAATCCCAAATTTATTTTATTACGCCAAAATTAACTCAGGCAACATGTATTAAGTACTTTTATACTTGTCAAACCAATTTAATTCATTTGCTTAACACAATTCAGAATTGACAGAGAAATTTGCAAATTTTGATGTGTAATCATAATTTTTCTATATAAGTATAAGTGACAAAAATATTACAGAGTATTATAAATTTCCTGATGAATACTGTGACCCAATTTTCTGGTTTATATTTAATTTATCATTTTCTTATCCTTAACTGTCTGTTAAACGGTAAATCATGTGAATTGACAAGCAATATTTGCTGATAACTATCGTTTAAGGGATAGAGCAATACCTATTAAATCTATTAAACTTGAAAATTTTTTTTTGTGAATATGAGCAATAATTAAAAATATACAGGTTGAACATTACGAGATTTTGGAAGAACAAATCAGAATTAGAGATAATTACATAACATTTACAAATCCAATAATTTTGACTTACACTGAATTTTTGAAAGAAAGATCATGTTTGATGAAGGTGATCTATAAAATCGGGGTAAAGACATACCTGAACCAGCAAAAAAAAAGATCAAGGTTATATAAAAGATATAATATTTAGAGCATAAGAAGACAAACATAAATATATATAAAGTGGTTGGTGCAGCAGTATTATAGAGAATTCTCTCTATCATTATTTTATGTACTTTAATTGCGTACAAATTATTCCCTTGAAAGGATATAAAGAAAATATTGTATAAAACTCAATAAAATTACAGAACTTTGAAATAAAAATAAAAAACTATTACAAATAGGAATTATTCCAATAAATTATGTAACTAGAATTCTAGATATTTTCTAATACAAGAGAATAGTAGCCGAATAAAGATATTTGGATCTGTTAAATTGAACTATGATGTAGTAGAGGAGCCGGGATAACATAGCAACAACATACACTGAATTATGGATTAATTATTTCTCAGCAATAATTCCAATAAACTAGGAAATTGTTAGTTCGGAGCAATATTAATATTAAATTATTTTTATTTTCATTTGTGTAATCTCGTGTTCTTTACGTTATCAAATTACTGTAGTTTTTAACAACTGGGAATCCTCACGTGCCATCAATTTTCACATTAACTACTCGTAAAAAGTGTCTACGCTACGCTCCGAAAATAAATTATTCAAATCTTTATTACTATACAATTACTGTGAATAAGTACCACCCGTGTATAAGCACCAGTAATAATTTGAAAAATGATCAAAATTATTAATCATGATTTAAATATAAATTTTACTAGCACCGCACTTGATTTCAGGTAAAAAATGTTATCCAAAAAGTGGTGCTTATTCACGATAAGGTATGGTAATCCCAACAAAGTGCAAAAAAATTTGAGTCAAAGATTGTAATATTATTAGACAAGCAATACAATTTATTTGTTTGCTCCTTCTTAACATCTAAGTGGTCTTGTTTAAGATTATATATAAATAATATAAAGTAAAATTGTTATCATATTTTACAATTATAAGAAAAAGGAAGTCTTGAAATTGAAGATAATGAATTAGTTGTAATTATTGTTGTTTGTTTTCTGTTATTGTTATTATCTTTGTTTTTTATTTTTTAATCGTTCTTTTAAATTATTTATTATTCTTCTTCAATGTCAAATATATTTTGTATATTTATTTGAAATGCAATTATAATAATTCTTTTTTCAAAATAAAAATAAAAATTAATGACAAATACATGCTAGAATCAGTAAGGTTATATATTTTCGTTTTTCACTTATGTCACATTGGATCGATTTTACGCAATTTTTTCCAACATATTCTAATACCATTCGAAAGTTACTAAAATTCTCATTTAAAATGTTTATTAAATCATCTTTTCAGTTTTAAAATTCAAGTTATTGTCGTCCAAAGACAAAGTATTAAAATAACTTACAAAATTACATTTAAAAATAACAGTTATAATATTGCAACTCACGAAAACAAGTGTCTTTAATACAAATATGAGTATAAAAATAAATATAATAAATATAAATAAATATACAAAATATAAATACATTCAAGAAAATTTTACAATTAAAAATATATATATATATAAAAGATTAAATATATTGATTATCACTAATGCTACCAAGACTATGTTGTCTATTACTACCACTTCCACGATTATGTTGACTATGTTGACTATGTTGTTTAATATTTATTACTGTTTCCTATGTGTCGGTTTAATAATGTCTTCACATCTTCGCAAAGTTCTGAAATCTCACATCGTTCCTCGGGATTAGGTTTACAAGATTTTATTATGACATTTGATATATAGTCTTCTTTGATTTTTTCATTAATCCTATTGTCAAATTCTCTATATAATGAATTTTTATCATTATATAGAAGTTTTTTGCTATATATAAAGAATAAAATTGCCCCTAAACCAAATATATCTTGATTAAATCCGGCGAACAAAACGTCCTGATTGAAGATGAAAAATTCCGGGGGAGTAAACCCTATTGTTAGAGGTTGCTGTTGAAATTGAATAACTTCATCCACATATTTCACATGTTCCAGGTCACAAAGTCTGATGTTTGTACGTTGAGGTTCCGCGCAAATGATATTTGATGGACATAAATCAGTGTGAACCACACCTTTATTATGTAGAAATAGAACAGCTTCACAAATGTTGTAAAATACTTGTAAAATACTATTGATTTTTTGAAACTGGAAATTAACCTTATCCAAACTTTCTCCAAAATATTCTAATACTATAAAGCCCCCTCCATTTTCATGTGGCACAAGATCCACCCATTTTACAATATGTTCTGATTGGAGTTTCTTGAGATACTTGGTTTCATTTGAGAAGGAAGACTCAAAAAAGTGTTTCTTACAAATGCATTCGGAAGAAGTACGAATATTTTTTGTTAAGTAAACCCGATTACTAAAAGCATTATTGTTAACGGTTTTATGTGGTCCGGCAGATATTTTGGATATAATCAAATATTTTTCACAGATAATACGTAATGAACTATCCCTTGTATCCCTCCACGGATTTAATGAATCTCGGCTTGTATGCATTGTTCCCCGACGTCTTATGGAATTTGTAGATTCAGTGGCTGTCGATGGGAGACTACGATCATTAAATGAATTTCGGCTTGCATGCATTATTTCCCGACGTCTTATGGAATTTGTAGATTTAGTAGATGTCGATTGGCGACTATAATCTGTAAAAGTAGTACTAGTTTGTCTACTCATTGGAGGTAATTGTGTGCTTTTATCTTCGCTATTTTCTAAACCTAAATATTAATAAATCCATATTTAACAATAGAAAAATATCCAAAATATAAATATTTTAACAATAATATATATATATATATATATATTCAAAAAGGAAGCACTTATTTAAACACTTACTTTCAGCTGTTGTACTTGGAGGTGAGGAAGAATGTTGAGAAGATATTTTTTTACGGTCATCATCATTGCTGTCGGATTCAAGTTTATCTTGATGATTAAGGCTGTGCTTTATAGGATTTGTTTTACCCGACCCCTATAAAATGAAATTGAAACTTATGAATATAATTTCAATTTAGTAAAAAGTCTTCTGAAATCAAAAGAATAACATACATGAAAATCAATAAGCGTTGCTTCTTCTACCAATTGTAAAGGGTTTAAAGGTTGATGTATGGATATTTTGAGATTCACCGTGGCAGATAAATTGTTTCTAACGTATAATGAGATTTCCGGAACTACATTATAATTAATTAACAAATTAGAAGATATTAAAAATAAATTAAGATTAATTATTAAATTACAATTTATAAAATTTATAAAATTTACCAGAAACCTGACCACCATCCATGAGTTTTAACCAAAGATTTTCCTCAAGGTAAATCCGAAAATTCCCAACTTCAAAATTAGAAAAGTGTATTTGTAGTTTTATCGAAAGATCGGGAGTGGCCACAACTGGGAGAATGATCCCATATGGGCATTCCCTTTCAGCAGTTGTGTAGTAATTTTCAGTGCTTGCCATTTCATTATCAAGTATTACCTGTAAATAACCCTTGTGGCCGTAACGGTTTTTCCTAGTTTAAGAAACGTTAAGAAGAGAGAAATAGATTGGTATTAAATTTTTAAAAATTTAGTTTTAAAATCAATTAATTTAATTACACTTTGATCTTATCAATCATCATTATGCCAATTGTTTGACCACGTGATGATTCGAGTTTAACCTGTTGCATTTTTTCTTTGGGCGCATCCATTGCGAGAAACATGAGGTTAAATGATACCTCACCGACGGTTTCTTCACCCCGAATTAGATTAAGTTTAACTTTTAAATCAAATAAATATATATCAATAACAATTAAGTTATTAGTCAAATAAAGATAAATAGACGATAACTAGATGATAAAATAGACGATAAATAATGCATACCTTTTGTGCCTTTGTCCATATCCTTATCAGATGGTCTTTTTTCACTAAGGGCATTCTTAAGGGTGTCTCCAGTGAAACCCAAAATAGTACTGGCATCATAACAAGTTACTTTGAATTCTTCAACAATTTTGGCAATAGGAAGGGTGAGTGATTCAGTGTAATAAGTTTCCTTTTTTTTATCCTGACCTTTTACACTATTAAAACAAAAAACATGGAAAAACATAAAAAAATGAATCGAAAGAACCATCACCATATTTAAGAATTCTTACGGTCGGACGGATCTAGTGAACATTTCGTCATCCCCATATTGAAATGCTAAATGAATTTCTCTTCTTCTACGTATCGATGCAAGCCGTTGACTGGTTGTAGCATTATGGTTTAAAGTACTATTATGTATAAAACATAAAAAATAATTAAAATATTGAATAAAAAGTAATATTTAGGACGAATGAAATATTTTATTGTTACCATTTAATGTCTTTCACTACCAAAATTCCAATTTTATCTGTCATTTTTGAAAAAATTAAAACGTAAAGATATTGGTAAATTTCTAATTTATATAAAAACACGCAGATACTACAAAATAGTTACACTAATGCAAACAAAAACCATTTAAAGTACTTTGACGAGAGAAAAAATAAATTTGAGGTTAGAGTATTGCCTGATGTGATATCTATAGAAGTTTCCATAAATATCAACAATGGGCGAACATTACACATGTTGTATAATTCTGTTGATCTCGAGAACAGTAGTTTTAAGTTCTCGTGGAAGAAGTATCTAACCATTATTATGCCAAAAAAGTTTAGATTTGGTCGATTTTTAGTTTTGATGGTCCATTATATACTGAATTAAGTTTTGTGTGATAGTATTTAGGGTTTACCAAATTACCGAAAAGATGATTTTAATGTTCAACCTCTGTTTAAAAGGCTTGTATAACGGGATGATTTTTTCCTAATCTACACTGATCATTTTTCTTATCCATACTCATAATTGAAAGTTTTTTTTTTCTTCGGGTAATACATCAATAATAGGTATTCTAAGCATTTTTAAGTATGACTACTATTTCTTGCATGATCATCAGAGAGAATCAAGGCTCCATTAAGCAATGCCTGAAGAAAGATTCCTTGAGCTCCATTTTCATCTTGATCCATTACAGCTTTACAATTCCACCAATATTTGAACATTTTTACACCAACCACATGTTTTGGAGATATAGGCTTCTTTTGAATAATAATGTGGACTCCTAATTCTTTGTCCTCGGAGATTAGACATTTTAGAAATGGTAATGTGCCCGGGCAAAGCATTTTACAAACAGTCTTTCTTGTTTTATGATTTATCATATGATATCTCAAAAGGAGGAATTGATCTTTTATGAATTTCATTTTGTAAATGTATAATTTTAAAATGCATATGTGAGGCCTTGTACTTCATACGCTTTGAGGTGGAAGTAGCTAGTTCTCTTTTTTTGAAATAAGATTATTCATAAACATCTTATATCATGTTCTTCAATTTTACTTATACCTTTTATAAGTGAATATTAAGTAAAAGATATATGAATATTAGGATCAATAGAAACTACATATATAGAATTATTCACTTGAGTTTTGAAAAGCTCCTTTTGTATTTCATAGATCTGAGAAATTTTTATTCATTGGTTTTTCGAGAATAAGTCAATTTGCTGTCACATGCATTTTGTTTCAAAAATAAAGAGACCACAAAACACATTCATCACATTCATTCAAACTTACAATAGATTTATGCCAATATTTATCTTTCTGTAATTAAAAAGAAAGAAAATGACTTAAACAACTTCGTAAAAGCATGTTTAAATGAACAATAACTCAACAAAATTTTTATTCACCTCAAATGGCTGAATTATCACCAGAAAGAAGATATTTTTGTTTAATGGGCAAAGGATTTAACCATATTTTTTCTATAATATCACCTTGTTTTTTCTAACTTGACATCGTTTGTTCCATCCTACTACTGTATTAAATGCAAATCTGGTCCCATTTATCATTTCAAAAGTTGTTTCTGAGGGTGGTTTGAATATACTTTAATTAATAGTACACCATTAAAGGTTTCTTCTGTTTTTTTGACATTTGTTGTAGCCATTATTGTTTTTCTTTTATGCTTTTCACTTATTTCTGTATCCAGCTCAGATGAAAATAGTGTGTATAGCAAGAATATCTGAAAAATTTCATACTCATTGGAGGTCTCGTTGTTGAAGAAAACAAAGAGTTTCGTGGAATGAAAAGAGAATATGTGTTTAGGGAAGTCAAAGACAAAGTGGCAGTAATAGTTAGTAACCACAATTTATGAGACAATACCTTTACTTGGGTATTTCAGGTCTTATTAAGTTTTAAGCATTTGAAATTTAAGGTGAAGGTGGAGATGGAGTGGAAGTAGTGATGGAGATGGGATTATTTTTAGAAATTAATTTGAAAAAAAAAGATACTAATAATTTTATAAAAGTTTGAAATTGCATATACTTTCTTCCTCATCTCAAAATTTTCTTCTTTTATTAACAAACTTTCCGGTCCAGTATTATCATCTAAATAAAATAATTTGTACAAATTAAAACGAATATCTTGAATTTCAGGATTATTATTAATTATTATTATTATAATTTTTCTTTTTTAACAAACATATCATCTAAATAAAGTAAGATTATTATTATTATTTGCATAATGATAACTGAACATTTCTTTTGTTCTGGTATTATCATCTAAATAAAGTAATTTACACAAAAAATTAAATATCTTGAATTTCGGATTGCATGATTTATTGTTACAATATGTATTCTTTATTTGATAATTATTTTAATAAACTTAGAATGAAATCTTTAAATTTTAATAGCACGCTCTTAACATTTAATAACATCCGGAAATTTTTTTAGGCGTAAATCTCCGTAATATACGTAGGTGTCGTAATATTATGGTATTTATACGGTGTTTTGACTTTAAATCGTCATATATCGGCGGATATCGATGCTAAAAAGGATAAAACATATCTCATCTTGTAGTCCAGAATCAGAGCTTTCGTTCGGTCATAAGAATACCTTAATCAAAAATCCTTCCCTGTCCTACAAATCGCGATTGAAGTCAATAAAACGGATTTTTTTTTAGGGTAAAAATTTCCGGAGAAATTACGGAAAAATTTAGTGGTAAAAAAATTCCGTAATTTTTACGCCAAAAAAATTCCATTTTATTGACTTCGATCGCGATTTGTAGGACAGGGAGGGATTTTTTGATTGAAGTATTCTTATGACTGAACGAAAGCTTTATACTGGGCTACAAGATGACATGTGTTTTATCCTTTTAGCGCAGATATCCGCCGGTTTAAAATCAAAATGGCCCATATAAGTACCGTAATATACGTAGGTGTCATAATATTACGAAGATTTACGCCTAAAAAAATTCCTGATGAAATTGACATACTTTAACTAAAAATTTACTTTAACCAAAAGAATCCGAGAGATTTAAGCAAACTATTGATACAACACCCATCAATTTCTTAAATTCCTCACAACTTCTTCATATAGATGGAGATATAGCACGGATATGTGACAATTTAGGAATATTCAGCGGATATTATATCAAACAACATAGATATAATAATTTCTTGAATAAATTATTTACACATTTAACATATTTTGAAAAGATTTTATTATCTAGAGATCATGCAGAAAATAGTAGTCATACTTAGTTTGATGTATTACAACCCATCCTAATCGTGATTTTCGCGAAAATCATTATTACTATAAATGAAAAAATCTTATTAACAATGCAAATGTTTTCGATTTTCTTCAAAAGGTTATTTTTTTTTTGTTTAAATTTTTTTTTTTTTAAAAAATGCCTTATAATTTAAGCACAATTTATATTGACCAATATATACAATGAGCCATTTACAAGACCAAACTTTGTGGTGAATGCAGTTGGCATTACTTTTTTATCCTCAAGAAATTCCGGATCACTTGAATTTAGCTTGTACCATTTTTAAAAATGAAACTCATAGTTACTCGAGGCTCTTCCCTTTACATAACTTGTTTCCTTTCATTTGTTGAGAAAGGACGGGCATTAAGTAGATGTAATAATTGGGGGTAATATTAAAATAAGGTCACTTGAAAAAAATGTATTTGCTGTAGATGAATCCGTGATAAAAGAGTACGAGAGATTATAAACAAAACCATCTGAATCACTACTTATTTCTAGACCACTACAAAATAATAACTATAATCATTATTTGATGTGTACTTGAACATTAACAACTAATCATATGTACCACATGGCGGCAGCATCCAAAAAAAGTCTAATTAATAACTTAATAAGGCTTAGGCATTCCAAGTTTAGCAGCAAAATATTTTTAACAATTGCATTTCATTGAAATTTAATTACATATGCTAACGTAAATATGTATGTAACTTTATCAACTATTCATTTTGTACAAGTAAACAAATATTAAAAAATGGCACAATCCACTCAAAAAGGTTAATCAATCATTAAATTTGTTCAAACTATCGAATTCCAAAATGAAAAAATTGTAATAATGTATTATGCAGCACAGTTCTATTTCCACCACTTCTTTAATTCAGTAGTGTAATTCTTTAGTTTAATTCACAACTAATTCTCCAGAGAAAAAAAATAAAAAATATATAATAAAAATGATGAAAATATTTGGAAAAGGTAAAGGAGAATTCGCGTTACGTATTTTAATATTTTTAATTTTGACTGGAACTCTATTATATGCAACACTCCACGAAATATTTATACTATTTAAAATACAACGTGGTGAAACTTTATATTCAATGTCCCCAAATAATTTAACTATTACCGGAATTCCTATTTGGAATAGTTTTATATGTTCCCAAAATCTTACCAGAGTTACAGTAGAAACGGTTAAACGGGGAATAAACACAGGAGATGATGCCCGAACAATTGATAAGACTACTCCACTTTCCGAATCATATACAAGTAAAACTAATACTAATGCATTAATTTCGGGTGATTGGACTTCATCCACAGGAGTTTGGCCATGTTATATTTTCAATAATTCTAATAAAGATAAATTCAAACCCGGAACCATTGATCAACTTATTATAACTGCATATGCTAACAGAAATCAACCACAACGAGATACAGGATTAATATTTGGAATATTTGATGATAATAGACCACTTAATATGATAGAACCATTTACTGCTGGAATACCTTCAATAAATACTTTTACTTTTACTTTAACAGAAAAAGTTGATATAAATAACAAAGAAGAATGGTCTTATACTGTTAATAAACAAAATACTTATATTGCATCTACTTTTGGAAATAATTCTATTATTGGAGAGTTTCTTTATTCGCCTGAAACTTATACGGTATATTATAGTTATTATTATTTATATTGTATTGCTAATCTTTACTGGGTTCCTCTAATAATAACCCTACTAACATTATTAATTTTCATTAAGTGAAATTTTAATTAATTAATATTTTGTTATTTATTATTTACAGGTTATAAAATTCGAAGAAAAGTTTAAACATACCGTTTATGATATAATTGGTGCAACAGGTGGAGATTTTACAATAGCCTTAGCATTATGGGTAATATTATTTGGTCGAGGAAAATATAAATCTTGGGGATTAATTCAACGATTTATTTTACGTAATTCACCTGATGTCCGTAAGAAAGATGGTACTGATCGTGATGATGATGATGGTAGAAATAAGAATGATTTGGAAAGTCAAATTGATCAAACACAACAACAATTACATCATTCAGAATCAAATAATGAATATATTGATGATGGAAGTGAAGGACTTGCGAAACTTACGAGTGAAGAGTTTACCAAGAAAATTAATAAAATTAATGAAAAACTTTTCACATTGGAACAAACTATAAGAAAACATTATCTTTCTGGATTTAAATTACATGATTCAGATCTTAAAAAACCGAAAAAAAATGAGAATATAGTTTGATTAAAAAAAAAAAAAAAGTTATTATTCACCAACTAAATTTGCTGTGCGTGGGATAAAAAAATTTATCTATCATTTAAAAATTAAACACTAAAAATTCGAGATCTACCGTTATTATTGGTATTAAATACATTAAATAAAAATTCCCAACACATTATCTTTTATATAAATTTTATCATTTATGTTATCGTTACGCTTGGATTAATGCAAAAGGAAGTTCAATTTATATATACAGTATAGCCAATTTTTTCAATTTTCGTCTATCTAAAAAATTTAGAATAAAAAATCGTCAAGAATTCTTATTACGTTTTATGGCAATTTTGATTTTTATTGGAAAACTATTCTTATTATCAATGAATAAAATGTTCATAGTTTTTGGGTAATACAAGCCGAACCTTTGGTTTCAATGTCCATGAATAATTTTACAACTGAATTTCCTACTTGGAGTAGTATTCAGGATACCACTTTAATCTCTTACCAGAGTTACTCGAGATTCTTCTCTTTGCATAACTGATTTTCTTTTATTTGTTGAAAAAGGACAGGCATATATTGTATAGTTGCTTGACGAAACCTCTGGGTTTAGACAGGCCGACGAAAGTCGAAACTGTCGAAACTTTAATAAAACTATATAAAAAATCTGTCGAAACTTACTAATTTATTTTAAACTGTCGAAACTATATTAATCGCTTATTAAAAACTTGTCGAAACTAGAGGTTTCGACGTTTCGTGAAATTCAAAATAGGTTTCATCAAGCAACTATAATATGTTGTATTAAGTAGATGTAATAATTGAGACAATATTGACAATATTAGAATTAGATCGATGCATTAGATGAATCCATGATGAAAAAAAACATCTAAACCACTACTTATTTCTAGACCACTACAAATAACTAAAATTTCAAATTGCTAATGCAATATTCTTTAATTAAACAAATATTTAAACATTCCATTTTCTAATTGAATATTACGACCAATCATATGTAATTATTTTAACCACACAGCGACGACGCAACATCCAAAAAAAGTCTAATAAAAGCTTGGCATTCCAAGTTTGGTAAGATATTGAAATTTAATTATGCTAATGTAAATAATCTATTCATTGACATATAATTGTCTTATATTGTTTATTTGTAAAGAAAATGGTATGTTGCCATCATTCTATCGAATTCTATCAAAATTCTCAATCAAAAATTCTCTATCAAATTCTTAATATAGAAGAATTGTAAATGCAACACAGCTCGGAACTTCTAAATTTATTTATTTCCATTATATTATATATTAACACATTATTATCATCGTTTCTTAATTCACTGGTTTAATTCTCTGATTATCCAGTATCTTTTGAAGATAAAAATCATATAATAAAAATCATGAAAATATTTGGAAAAGGTCAGTGGGAATTCGCGTTACGTGTTTTAATATTTTTACTTTTGACTGGAGTTTTACTATATGCAACAATCCACGAATTATTTATAATATTTAAAATACAACGTGGTGAAACTTTAATTTCAATGTCTATAAATGACTTAACTTCCACTGGGATTCCTATTTGGAATAGTTTTATATGTTCCCAAAATCTTACCAGAGTCACAATGGGAACAATTAAACGGGGAATAAACGCAGGAAATGATAACCGAACAATTGATAAAACTACTCTACTTTCCGATTCTTATATAAATAAAACTAATACTAATGCATTAACTTCGGGAGAATGGACTTTGACCACAGGAGATTGGCCATGTTATGTCTTTAATAATTCTAATAAAGATCATAAATTCATACCAGGAACTAATGATCAATTTATTATTA